GGCGGGGGGGGGCTCCGCGCCTGCCCCTGCCTGCGCTGCCCGCACCTGCCTGCGGGGGGCGCCTGCCGGGGCCTGGCACCGCTTTGGGGGGGCTCCCACCCCCGGGGGCAGCGTGGGGGTGCCCCCCACCCGCGGGGTGCGGGCAGGGGCGGGAGGGAGCACAGGCAGGGCAGGCAGGGGCAGGTGGAATTAGGTAGGTGCATTCAGGTGCAGGCAGGTGCATTCAGGTACACTCAGGTGCATCCAGGTGCAGGCAGGGGCTCAGGCAGGTGCAGGCAGGTGCGCTCAGGTGCACTCAGGTGCAGGCAGGGGCTCAGACAGGTGCATTCAGTACACTCAGGTACACTCAGGTACTCTCAGGTGCGCTCAGGTGCGCTCAGGTGCAGGTGAGGCTGTTTTGCTGCCCCCGTTCCCCCCGGGCTCATTAAGCGGCCGCACAAACAGCCCCGGCGGGGGGAGAGTTGAGGGTCCCCAGGGTACCCCCGGGGCGGGGGAGAGGCACCCAAAATAGAGAAGGGCACCCCAAAACAGGGGCGGTACCCCAAAAAAGGGCCACACGGCCAGGGTAGGAGAATGTACCCCCAAAAAGGGGCATGACCAAATGAGGGGAGCACCCAAAAGAAGGGGTGCCCCCAAAGCCAGGGGTACGCCCAAAACAGAGGGGTGTCCCCACAGCCGGGGGCGCCCCCTAACAGGAATGCCCCCAAAATAGAAAGGTACCCCCAACCCAGGGGTGTCCCAAAAACAGGGGCACCCCCGTAGCCCCCCAAATCGAGGGGTATCCCCAAACCGGGGTGCCCCCCCAGCTGGGGGTGTGCCCAGAGCGAGGGGGTGCCCCCCAAACAGGGTGACCCCCAAGCCGGGGGTGCCCCCGAGCCCGGGGGTGCCCTCCCAGCCGGGGTGCTCACCAAACAAAGGGCGGCTCCCCAAAAAGGGGTCCCCCGAACACGGTGGGGGCTCGGGCTGCCCCTCCGGCTGCCGGCGGTGGGCGGGGCTCGGGGCGTGTCCGTGGGCGG